ACGCTTCACAGTTGTTAGCAACCGTTTAATGGTTTGTGATGAGCATCTAGCTTAATTGACCCCAAATGAACGACAGCCTGATCGTCTTATGTATCAGCTGTTGTCGCAACCTTGGATAAGATGGAAAGTGGAAAGTGTTCGTAAATGACTAATGATCTGACCATCCGACCTATGAAAACGAAACGTGGGGAGCATGCCTTTGTCCATGCCTTCTCTTCCCACCAGATGGCTGGCCCCGGTCTTTGATACCGTGTTTTTGTATTGCCTCCGTTTCCTCTGAGCAGCAAGGCTAACGAGCCGACACGTTAATGATTTGTATAGCAGCTATTACCCGCTAACAATAGACTATCAGCGTGATAAGTGCCTGAATTAGTTACTTTAATATTTCTGTCTCTTTTAAACTTCCTTATATTGAGCGATGAGCAATGCTAAAAAACTGCATTGGCGGTGTTCCACAGCGCGTGACAAGTCAGGATACGTATGATCTTACGCCTTCCTATTCTTTCAGTGGGAATTCGAATGTTCTGATGGAATGTTGGTCACTGATTGTCACCAGCCAGCTAATTGGCTAACCCGTGCTTCATGCTGATGCCATTCTAAAATGTCATTAAGCAGGTCACCCACCGCCATGCGACATGAAATTCCCTCACTGAAGCAATATTTACGGGAATAAAAGTGCACTTTTGTTGACATAGTTTGACGTATCTTCCGTCATGCCAACATACATGCGATGCAGGCTGATCAGCGCTATTTTCTGTGGTTTGTTCCGTCGTCGTACTATGCTTGGCTCTTGAAATAAGTGGGTGGGATCTACACATACAAAGCTCGACTTGCATGACCTGATTTGATACTTTACATACACCACCCACTCACACGCTGATATTTGCGTTCAATATATATGTGATATGATATATGTAAAAGGATATCTGTAATATGATAACAATGAAAATATTCCTATCATACAACGGCTGTAATAACGTATCTGTTGTAAGATTCATATCATGAGATATCCGTGAACAGATATCAGTATACGGTATCTATAGCCACGCGTAACGAGGTAACTGATAAGATATATCGACCGTAAGGCAGCGCGTCCGGGGCCACATAATATCGTGCTCCCAGCTGCCACAGCAGACACAGTTAGGAAGGGAGGCAAGGGACCATTCGTATTATGAATTCGGCCTAGTTTCACCCATCGAAGACAGATTGAGCTCATGTTTAATAACACAATCTAGTGCTGGTTAAGCTAAAACAGCAGCGAAAGCAGTCGAACATCCAACACAGCTTTCCGCTTTCGTTCTAGCATGCACACGTTTTAATGCAGCAGGTAGCCACCTACTGCCCATGCGGGGTCCCTTCGAGCCGCCAAGAGAAAGCAAGTGTCCGGCAGGCAAGTGATAACTGCCAGTCGCTCAAAGCATCGATCTTTCAGCTTTTGACGGCCTAGTAAAAATGTTAACTCATCCTTAAACACAACTATACAAACAATGGTTTTGTGTGCTTTTTGTCCATCTATGACATTAAGCTCTTGTTTATGTGCGCATTAGTGTAAACAGCAGAAGTTTTGACCGTGCAGCTGACATGACAAACCAAGTACGATGACGGGCGATCTCATGCCAGCTAAAATGTTCAAATGAGATCACATTGTTAAAAGTGAACGCCGCATCACGTTAGCATAATTTGTGGCCTTTTCAGGCATGAATTGATTTAATGTCACTTGATGTATTACCACATTGAAATTAAACTAAGTACATTTTATGGCTTACTTTGTGACGCCGAGCAAGTCAGCTTTTGTAAGGTGTTTTATGCGGGGCTCTATAAGAACTACTGCATCAGTAAGATGTACTGGCACTCGCGCTTGAATCAGCTGTGTTTTTCATGACATCTGGCGTCATTGATAATGCAAATGAAATAAGCTAGCTGTTTTCAGGATGGAAAGACCAGAGCTATTCATCAACGTTGGGATTGCGTTGGGCAGAGCTGCGTTGGATGTTATCAGGAGATCCTTGGACTGTGTACTAGAGCACTTCACGGCTCAGACCAATCTACGGATTTAGGATCCATCCACGATCCAGATTGGACCGGATCCGAAGTTTCCATGAAAACATGGATTGGGACCGGACTTGATTTACAAATTTGCCAGTTCACACGGATTGAACGGATTGAAAACCAATCCAATGCGAATTATCATTAGACACTCTTGGACACGTTCAATGATCAATGAGCTAAAATATTCAATGACGTCAACTCAGATAAGGACTTATAGACCAATAAATCACCGTGGTTTTAATTCCAAGCAATGTACAAATAGGCTACATAGTGCACAACTCAGCCACATATTCTACAGACAGATTTTCTGATGAACAGATCAGATTGGCAAATTGATATGAATGCCACTGATATATGCTGTTATGAAAAAATTAGAACTCTGTTCCATCCCAATGTCACCAGAATGTCTGATTATCCAATAACCTACCTTATTACAACATAGCTATCATTTCTCCTGAACTTGTCGCCTCTGTGCCTCTGTGAACCTGGTTCACGGCTGGCTCTATTTTGGCACCTGGTTCATGGCTGGCTCTATTTCGGCGCCTGGTTCGTGGCTGGCTTTATGTTGGCGCCGGCCGCTACTTGCTCAGTCTTCCGCGGCAACATTTGTGCCTTGAAACAAAAGGTGAGCTTTCCTTCTTCACTACAGCTCCCCGCTATAGTGTGCTACATAACTTTGTAAAGATCGAATCTACGATAAGTGCTCAGGGTAGGGTGCTGTTGGCTGGCTCTCGCATAGGCGCAGGGGCGACAGCAGTTCTCGTAAGTCAGGGGGGGGGGGGCGATAACTATTCAGGTCACTGCTTCAGTTAAGGCCTTTGAGGTGAAGGCTTAATTTTAAGAAAGTTAGGGACTCATCCCCTCTCTAGCACCCGCGCCCCCTAGGTAGGCGTTTTGACTGCCCGCGCCGATTGAACTTGAACGGTTTTGCTAAATATAAGCTGGCAAAAGCACGTGCCCATGCTTATCATTCAAGACTACCTGATTGGGTCGTGGATATATGCAATTAACCAGTAATAATTCGCTTGTTCCTGGTAAAAAATAGTTCAATACTCAGGCCGCATGTCTCCAGCAGTCCGCGCCCGCAAGTTTTCACTCTTTACGACGGATTACATCTTAATCACTTGGCATATGCACTTGTAATTAGACCAACATCATACTCCCCTTGGCGCTATATGCATCTGGTGTCCTGGCTACCAAATACCTTCACCTACCCCCAACAGTTCGTCCTTTATTGGTACTAAGGCAGACTGATATCCTGGCCGGCCATCTCGTTCTGGACAGGATTTTCAAGTTCCACGCCGATTTCATTGTAATGGTAGGCCGTATAAGCTTGCAAAGTACATCATCATATCCGTCATTAAAACGTGCGCGATCGGCTTGCTGATCATATGCACCAAACGCTAACAATGCATTTATTATCTTTACGAGGATTTCCTATGTCCCGGCTGTCCCGCGCGTCGCGCTCCACGGCTAGCGACCGCGTCGCATGAAGTCTCGGTACCAGTGACGTCATCGCCTTGTACAAGGCTCATTAAACCCGACTGATGACAAATCGCATGCACGGCATCCCCCTGCTTATTCAATAGGCGCGCTTAGCGATTGTGCACTGCGTGCAGCGGAAACCATCGAGTGGCATCCGGATGGTATGTTGGACCTAACCTTGAGTCTGAAAATGTTACGTAATGTGCTTATGTCTTGAGGTTATTGAAAGCAGAAGCCATTTTGGCAAGTGCTCCGTGAGGGTAGCGGTGAAATATTGTTAGAGTAGTTGTGAGATTATAAGATATGAGGAGCCTTGTTTGCTCTGATCTTCATGTAAAATGACATTTCCAACAGGCGACAAGGCGTCTGAGGTATATCAGCGCCTATAATCGGCGTATGGCAACTTCTTGTACATTTTTTAATAAAAACCAATAAATAACTAATTTTTAGAACGCTCAGATGAATCAAATTTGCTGTTTAGATTCTTCAAGTACTTGATGTGCAAGTAGCCTGGCGCGGATTTATTTCGTGCACTTTCTGGTAAGCCGGACTGAACCGGTTTACATTGAGAAATCTGGGAAAGTGGATTGGCATGTGGATTGGATCTGGACTTGCCGGGCCGGACTGGACCGGATCCTGAAAATTCGATCCCTGAAGTGCTCTTCTGTGCACTGAAGGAAACAATGACCGACTATCGGACGACAACGCGCCTATGCCTTCTGCCACCCAAACTGCGGGCTGAGAACTGAGCCTGAAACACACATGCCAGGTTTGTATCCGCCAAGCCAACTGTCGACAGGCTGTTGACCGGTGAACGAAAAGCAGATGTGGATTCAATGTGAATCAAGAGTCACCTCGACTCGCGTCTAATGCTCTTGGCTTAGACCAGGTCGATGGTGTGACTAGGCTTGGGCCTTCAACTTTCTCACTATCACTGTGAGGAATAGGTGGATGTCGTGATGGTGAGCCTGCATTTCTCCTGGTTGATCCCGCGCCACTGAGCTTTTCCCGCGTGCTTGCTTAATGCGCGGGCAGGCACTACGCAAAGCTCCATGTGCCCCGCATCGGTCCGCTCACGGTGTCGTATGCCCCGCGACCTGACCGACCTAGCTGAGTCACGGCAACCGGCGCCGAACACCTGAGCGAGTCGCTGGCGGTGTCGTACGGCCCGCAACCTGACCGACCTGGCTGAGTCACTGCAACCAGCGCCGAACGCCTGAGCGAGCTGTCTTGTGCCGCGTGACCTGACCGACCTGGCCGAGCCACGGCACCCGCCACCCGGCACCTGAGCGAACCGCTGCCCGTGGCCATAGCCAATGTACGCCCCTCTGCAGGCCTCACAAGAGAGGCCTCCGGCGCCCAAGCAGCCTGAGCGGGGCTGCGCCGCAGCGATCTTCCTTTATTTCGAAGAGAGTTTGCTGGCGTTGTGTGACCGACCGCCGCGTTTGCATCCTGCCAATAAGCTCATGGCTTCGTACATGTATGTATCGATACTTTGTGCGTTGCACATACAATGCGTGGTCCGCACATTACCCCGCTGGCGGCACGGTGCCCAAGGCAGGGCCCACACAATGCCCGCGAAACCCGTCTGCGTCAGGTTAAATAAGCCCACGCGTCAACAAAACAAACGAGAGATACAGGTGAAGACTGATGGTGGGATCGTTTCCCAAACATGTAACAACTGCCGGCCGACCGCCGGCACCAATCGGGCATCTCCGGCCGAGCCGTGGCCTTGCCCCAGCGGGGGGTCACGCCGAGCCGTGGTCCCCAGCGGGTGGCAATGCCGAGCCGTGGCCTTGACCTCGGTGGTCGGTGAAGCGGAACGCTGCTCCAGAGTCCGGCGGTAGGGGACCGCACCCTTTCCTAGTGGCCGCTGAAGGTGTCGAACGCCTTCTGCAGCCGCTCCAGCGCGTCGATGGTGTCCAGCCCGGCCACGGGCAGGCCGCGGCGCTCGTTGTCCGCCAGGACGCCCAGCGAGGCGATTATTGAGAACGCCACGTAGCTGACCGCCAGCAGGATGACCATCTTCAGGCCGATGTCTGCCAAGCCGTCTGCGGGTGACGCGAGGTGGGGTCAGTCGGCGTCAGCGTGCTCATGGACGGATGTCATGCTGACGCGCACAGGCTTCAGCGTTGACGCACAAGAACGGGCTGCTGGCCGCAGTCGTGCTGGCGTCACAAAACCCGGTGCTGATTCGGACGCATTGATGTCGTGGGATCCATAACAGTCTAAGGATGCGTGCCTTGTTTTGTCGTTCTCACTGCTGGGTTAGATACTCAAGTCCGCCGCCACTGACCACTCACGCCTGACAGGTGTTAACAGTTGTTGAAATCACCAATATTACCTTTGAAGAAGTTGTCGACGGCAGAGACGCGATCAGCTGTATACCTGTGGAAGCACACGAGATTATTACAGGTGTTACACTGAGTTGCGTACAACTGGTGCATGTACCTACTTTTTCATGCAAAAGGTTTGTCCACGTAATCAAAAGAAATTGCAGAATTTAGCTCACTTCTTATAGATATATGTTCAATGGAAAAAAGACGCAGCCTTATGAGGCACCAGCCGAAACTGAATAAAGGCGTTGGCATGAACATAAACATATTCTTTCGTCCAATAGCTGAGTTGGTTAAAGCAGCTGCTCTCCAATCCATCCATCCGTGATAGGGTGGGTTCGAATCGCTTCAGGCGCTCGCCAATTTCACTTGACTAGGCCGGCCTGCGGCCGATGGAGCGGCCACATGTCAAGTCAGCTGACACCAGAGAGCAGGACAGACCGTGCCGAGCGTAGCTGCACGCAAGACAGACCGTGCTGAGCGTAGCTGCACGCAGGACAGACCGTGCTGAGCGTAGCTGCACGTATTACCTTCTCCACCATATTCTGCCGTTGACCTAAAATGTAATGATCGGATGGTAGAAGTCAGGGCTTGCGCAACAAGCCCTGCATAGGGCGGGCTCTGTTCCCAGAAATTCATCCATCCGAAGGGCTCAGACCCAGTTTTAAGCGTGATATGCAGAGCAGGAGCAGTGAAAAACGACAACGATCAAACGCAAAGACGTCAACGCTGATTCTGAAGTATGTAGTCAAAATCCCCGTTTTGTTTCATCAATGGTGCAGATTTGTCTAGCGCCCACTGTTGTGTCCCTTTTTACAGGACATTTTGTCTTGTTTCACAAGCTGATGGGCATGGTCAAAACTTTGGTACTATGCTGGATTCCAAGCCATGTGGGGATAGCGGGAGACGAGCTTGCCGACGTCGGCGCAAAGCGGGCCCCTCATGTGCCTTGCGCACGTTGTTTGCGGTCCTAGCTAGGAATTTCTATTCATCCATCACAGCTTATCTGAAAAGAAAATTGCAACGCGTCTGAGACGCCGAAAGCAACAAGCTAAGAATGATAAAGCCACTGTTGGGCCTTTGGCCGTCTAGCTCGTGAGCGGCTAAGTGGGAAGTGGTCGCTCTGTGCCGGCTGTAAATTGGCCATTCTTACGCGATAAATGGATGTCTGTTATGTGGCGGCGGGAGACTTCAATGCCCTGAATGCCATGCGCCGTTGACAGTTTATCATGCGTTTTACCCCTGTCCACATTTCAAGGACGAACGACTGCGTCATTTTGGGTGGCAAGCGTCATGTTTGACTTATCGCGACATGTTGGGAGGCGACACTTCTTTGTTACACTCAGGCCAGTTGTTTGCAGTTCTAAGATGCATCAAATTTTCAGCTGTATTTGTCCTCGCTAGTTAACAAATAACACAGCCCGAAACAGCCGTTATGGGCGTAATAAGACCTTTGATATCGACGCGCCCCCAAATCCCACGTGACCTTGATCATCACAATGTTTCTGGCTGGCATGTGCAGCTCCCACCTGAGACCCCCACGCATTCCGTGTCTATTCTGAGGAACGCAGCAGTGGATCGTTTCATGCGAGCCGGATTATGAACACTACGCACGGCTTGCGATTGGGATGAAGAGGCTATGGCAGAGGCTCGCGGGTGGGGTAACGTATTTCAAAGCTTTTCTTGTTCGTCATGCATTTATTTATTAGCCAGTTGACTCACTTGTGTGAATTTGTTACATGAATGCCACTTTGCTCGAATGGGGGTCAGGTATGCGTCCAGTGTTGCTCGCCTAGGTAGCTCTGCGCGTCTCTGTGACCCCACAGCGCCGCAGAGCTGCGCGGCTGTTTGGCACGCCACCTAGAAACATACACGTCATTCTTGATCCCAACGTAACCGACTGCCTCCGCCTGTCTCCGGTCGCCGGCAGCCGGCGACTACTCACGGATACTGGTGGTACCGACTGGGGTAGTAGGCGGGCTGCTTGTACGGCGTCGGGTGGTGGCCGTAGGTGCTGGCGTCCGCTTCGGCCGTCGGGACCACCACGACCACCAACAGGAGGGCGACAGTCGCCTGCTTCCACATGTCTGCTGGCGTCCAAGAACAGCGCGCATGTTACCCGGAGGACAAGGCAATGCAGGTCTTCTGCCGGGCCAGATATCGTTGCTGTAAAGATACATTCTGTTGCCGACGCCATTGTTTACATGGTTAGCCGTCATTCATTGCGTCGACCAATAGGAAAACAGACACTCAATATCAAATATTATCTAGACACCATTTCTATTGGAAATCTTCTTTGCATAAGCCACGTCTGAGCCTTATGGTCGTAGGTGACAGCTAACGGACCCATCAGTGACCATATTCATTCGTATGCTAATCGTCATTTGCATTCAAAAGCCACGAGAGCAGCCTCTCTCAGAAGTGGACGCTCCTCTAAAGTCTGTCGGTCCGTACAACTCGCTGGAGGGTGACGGCATCCAGGACCATTACGGGCGCAGACAAATCAACACTGAGTAACACCAGGCAGAAGCAAATTGGGCTCTGCCTGCACATCCATGGGGAAGCATCCAAGCACCAAGTAAACGGTCACAGAAGTGGTCGGTTCGATAAAAACAGTTTTCTAGGGTCGTGAATTGTCGCTCCCGTGGAAGCCAGTCATTAGACGCAGGCACTGGACTGTATCTTAACTGATTTTCTAAAAGTCATTAGCATGATTGAAAATTAGCATGTTGTTCCATGAAACAACGCCTAAGGTGCCCGCCTGACAGCGGAGCAGCCTGTCTTACCTTATCGTAAGGCTGGTGAAGAAGGAATGAAGATTCTGGCCACTCGGGCTCCCAGGAGCACGCAAACACCGCAACCCTTCCTGTGACGTTACAGCCGCAGGCTGTGGGTCGGCCTGGAAGGGCTACTCCCCACTTCCAGAGTGTTGACGACCCCGGCTCTGGTTCCTGTTTGTCCTCCGGCGCCGGCGGAAGGTGAGGATCCCCCATAGGGTGCGATGGTCTGATTGGGTGAAGTGGCGCGCGGCCGCCATTAATGACCCCTTTGAGGTCGCCGTTTGCTTTGAGGGCCTGGAATTGTGTCACTGAGAGAATGGAAGAGAGAGAGAGAGAGAGAGAGAGGAGAGAGAGAGAGAGAGAGAGAGAGAGAGAGAGAGAGAGAGAGAGAGAGAGAGAGAGAGAGAAGAGAGAGAGAGAGAGGGAGGGGGAGAAAGAGCGGAGGGAGGGAGATAGGAAGGTTGAGATGGCCTTTTTTATTGACCAAAATAGCGGAGTTATGTGAACTTATTCTCCATGACTTGTCAGATCTACAGATCGGCTTGGAACTACTGGCATGGATTGAGGCATGTTAAGGGGGCAAATTCGGACGCTCGCTATGCTGTGCACGTAGATTAGATGACAGATACGGCAGACGCATTTGTTTACCCATTACACGCATTCATACGTTCATGTGTTGTGTTCATTATACAGCAAGTTGTGCACCAGCCTTCACTGAAGACGTGGGCCGTGATTATGGATGGAGTCGGTGTCAAACTGGTGTACAACTTACCGACTCTGCTCACGCCGCAAAGTCACCAATGCAAGTGTTGAAATATGCTGTCTAATGATCAATCCATATTCTTGCACTAGTGACAGCATGCATATGTGGTTCGAGGGCATGGCTCCAAGGAGCATGCTATAGCAAATTGGCTCCTGAAATGTGTCTTAGCCAAATCCGCTAATCGTTGATCACCCAAACTATGTTTCAGCACTTGCATTCAACTTCATGCAACGAACATTCAACGAACATCCAGCGAATATATTAAGTAGTGGTAAGCCACCAGGCTACTGGCCAGGCAGGCGGCAGAATTGAGGCTTTCTCCGAAAGCAGACCACTCTTTTGGTGGCAGACGGCATGTATCCCGCACAAAAGATGAAGCACAGCAAATCAACACGACGCCGCATCCTGCACCGCACACAGTGACGGTTCGGGCCGAGGAACACGTGCCTTTTCTGCCAGCACGGATCCTGGACGTCCCTATACTGAAAAGTACTTTTTTGAGTCGCTGCTAGTAAGCAAACTGCCATCTTGAGCCGGTGGCGTCACTGTAGAGGTGGTATAAGACGAGACCTACTCCCATCAGCAACAGTGTCGTGATAATCAGGTACGGTGTGATGCGCACCTGATCTGAAAACAAAAGGCGACGCGCACTGTAGACAAAGCGTTAAGTTGTTGATAGCGCTTGTTCAACACAACCAGTTTGGACGCTTCCTTAATCTGATCGGTTACTTGATGTCGAGGTTCATTCACGTCAGGTGCGCTCGTCCTGCCATGAAATGGTTCAAGAGCCAAGGACGGGATTGTTACGCTGAGGAGCCAAAACCTAGTCCAGGGAACTAAAGAGTATTCGACTCCGTATACAAAGACGCTAATCTACCTACGTTTCCTCCAGTCATATTTCTCATTTATTCCCCGGATTCAGCGAAATTTATTTTGAGGATGGGGTAAACTGCCGCCCCCCCCCCCGTCCCCCCGCCCTTGCTGGAGACGCCTGTAAACGGCTAACACACCCACCGCTGGGGGGTCCACCGCGGAGACGCGTCGACTGTTGGGCTGCAGACCTCCGCCTGAAGGAATCGGCTTGTTAGCGCTCTACTCTTAAAACCCGTTCCATGACAGCGGGCGTGACCCCGCAGCCTGCCAGGAGGGGGGGGGGGGGCGTACAGCGGGCGCAACCCCCGCAGTCTGCCAAGGGCGCGCACAGCGGGCGTGAATCCGCGGTCTGCCAGGGCCGCGCATAGCGGGCGTGACACCCACGGTCTGCCAGGGCCGCGCACAGCGGGCGTGACCCAACAGTCTGCCAGGGGCACACACAGCGGGCGTGACACACACAGTCTGCCAGGGACGCGCACAGCGGGCGTGACTACGCAGTCTGCCAGGGGCGCGCACAGCGGGCGTGACCCCCGCAGTCTGCCAGGGGTCACGCCAGACGATGTGCCGGCATCTGGTGGGGAATCGCCAGGTCATGGGTGACCCGTTGAAGGTAGAACATCCATCTTTGAAAGGCCGTTATTTGCCGAAAATTTTGCGATGAATGAAAAGTTTGCGGTCATCGCAAAATTTCCGGCAAATAGTGGCCTTTCAAAGATGGATGATCTATCTTCAACCGGATATCCATGCCCTGCCGATTTTCCACCAGATGTCGGCGCATCCATCCAGCCAGCATGGCGGATGGGTGCGACCCTGGCAGGCTGCGGGGGTCACGACCGCTGTCATGGAAAAGGTTCAAAGAATCGAGCGCTAGTAACCCGATTCAGTTTCAGATTTAGGTTTAACCAATGCGGTTTTCAAGCGGATTGATTAAATATCTTGGTTTAGAGTCATGCCACGCAGTGCTTGTGTGAAACCTTACCGAGATCTGAGCGTGCAATGGCAGTTTTGCTGTAGGGCAATGTTAGGCACGAGCAGCCCGCCCTCTGACCTCATGTCACTTTGAATGGCCGCTGCCATCGATCGTGGGCCAGTTCAGTCGGGGCAAACAGCGAGGGCCAGAGCTGCTTGTACCCACCCAACCCTCCACAGCGCCAAAGCAGCTTGAACCGATCACCGATAACGCCACGGGTGAGTTGGGAGACAAGTGCTTTGACCGATAGAGCTACGGAATGCGCGTCTGGCATGCTACTTTGACAAATGTCTTTAAAGTGAATTAATGTCCGTCTGTCTGTCTCGAATGTCATTAAATACCTTCATGTTGGCTTAGGAACTGTGATCAACATGGAGCTATGATGACCATATGGTTATGGTATCACCTATGACAACCAGCTTTTAGCTCACAGACATGTTGATAGCATATGCCCTTTAATAAGGTATACAGATGCTTGGACTCCGTGGACTTCAAATGAAATCCATTGAGCACTATTTCATTCGGGAAATCAATGCGGCATATATGCTTTCCATGTATCAAGAGCAATAACGACGCGTAGAACAGCCTCCCGGAAAGACTCGAATGGGTCCACGGATGCGATGAGCAGTGCTGACCGGCTACATATCATGGACAGTGCTGACCGGCTACATATCATGAGCAGTGCTGACCGACTACATATGATGAGCAATGCTCACCGACCACATAGCATGAGCAATGTCCACCGGCCACATATGACGAGTAGTGCTCACCGGCCACACATCATGAGCAGTGGTGACCGACTAGATATCAAGAGCAATGCTCACTGGCCACATATGACCCAACATCTTATGCGATATATGCATAATAAGATGGAGCGAACAGTCTGCCTTTCGGAAGAAAGAGATAAGATTACTGAAAAACTGCCCGATGCCTTCAAATACACTTGCGGAATGTCTGAAGCCCACCTGACAAGCGTAGGAATAGGCGGCCCGGCGTTAGATGATTCGCTGCTGCGCACTTCAGGCGTGTAGCCTTCCGCGATGTCGCGCCGCTCCCTTCCGAGCCCAACAGCAGGCGAAAACCCCGCGCCGGAAATGGCGATAATAACAGCACTACCTGCAAGTAGCAGAAGTAGGCAGTGGAGAAGCCATGCCACTGCCAAGGGGAGGCCCGCCGAAGACATGAGATATCTGGCCCTATAAGGCACCGCGTGCGGCTGCTACATTCTAAACCTTGCTAAGAAGTAAAACAATCTTTCAGAATTTGGCCACTTTATTCTCAAAAATGCATTGTGCAAATGCAAACGCAAAAGACGCAAATGCAATGCATATGTGGCCGGTGAGCACTACTCATCATATGTGGCCGGTGAGCACTACTCATTATATGTGGCCGGTGAGCGCTGCTTGTTACATGTGGCCGGTGATGTGATGTGGTGCTGATGTGATGTGACCATCACATCACCACGGATGTAGTGAGCACTGCTCATCGCATCTGTAGACCATTCGAGCCTTTCCGGAAGGCTGTTCTACGCGTTGTATTGCTCTTGATCCATGGGAAGCATATACGCCGTATTGATTCTCCGAATGAAACAGTGCTCAATAGATTTCATTTGAAGTCCACTCAGTCCGAGTATCTGTATACCTTATTAAAGGGCATGTGCTATCAACATATCTGTGAGCTATAAGCTTGTTATTTTAGGTAATACCATAACCATATGGTAATCATAGCTCCATGTTGATCATAGTTCCTAAGCCAACACGAAGGTATTTAATGACATTTGAGACAGACAGACGGACACTAATTCACTTTAAAAGCATCTGTCAAAGTAACATGCCAGTCGCCCACCTCGTAGCTCTAGCGGTCAAAGCACTTGTCTCCCAACTCACCCCTTGGCGTTATGGGTGGTCGGTTCAAGCTGCCTTTGCTTTGACGCTCTGGAGGGTTGGCTGGATCCAAGCAGCGTTGGCCCTCGCTGTGTGCCCCGACTGAACTGGCCCACGATCGATGGCAGCGGCCATTTAAAAGTGACATGAGGTCAGAGGGCGGGCTGACCGTGTCGAACGTCGCCATACAGCAAAACTGCCATTGCACGTTCAGATCTCGGCAAGGTTTCACACAAGCACTGCGTGGCATGAACTCTAAACCAGGATATTTAATCAATCCGCTTGAAAACCACATACGTTTGCATGTTACAATATCACGAAAGCCGGATATTCAAGTGCAGCGGGTGAACCGTTTGCACGACCGCTTCCAAAGACGCCGGACCTCATTCCCTGAGGTTTTGATGTCATTTGCATTGGCATGACATGCTGGCTTTTCTGACGTCACTCTACCGACGACGCACGTGGTGTCTTGCTGGTAATTTACCCATCAGAATAGTTGGTGTTCTGTCGGTCTTGTTACTTGGGATCATAGGAGCACTCGCACGCCGTTCTTCCGAACAGAATAGCACCACATGGCACATCCGAAGGCGGACCTAGGTTGCGCACCATAAAACAGCAATAACCTGTCATATTTCAACCATTTACAAAGGTATGCGCACAATAAACTGCATCGCATTGTGACCAACCGGATGAATCAAATCTGCACCGCATGCAAGTTATTGCACCATGGAGAGTGCTCTGATGGAGAGTGTAGTCGGCCATCTGCCGCCGGCCGGTACCTTGGAGAGTGCTCTGATGGAGAGTGTAGTCGGTCATCTGCCGCCGACCGGCACCTTGACGCGTCCTCCGAGGGTGCAGACGCTGACAGGCTTGCGTCAGCTCGGCTCCTCGCCGCGATGGGGCGGCGTCCGCGACCCTGCCACCGCCGTCGTGGAGACGCACCACTACAGACTCGTGGGGAGGGAGGGGCTCAAGGACTGCAGGCTCCGCCGCCCACGGTGGCCTAGTCGAACGGCTTCCGCTGACCATACCGACCCCGCGCCCAGCTAACGATAAACATCCGGACCGGGTTGGTTTCCCTGTGCAGGCATCACTGGCTGGCCGTGACCGAGAGCCGTCTGATGGACGGTCGTCCCCTGCCATCGCAGTGAGGTACCCCCGTCCACTAGGGTGCGCCACGCCCAGGCTACGCTCTTGTAGGGCGACTGGCCTTTTCCATGCTTTAATCGGCATCAGCTGCGTGCTTCTTCGAGGTGACCAAACCAGATACAGGTGCTATTTTTCGGCATTTTATTTCTGCATCAGAAGCTCTTAGCAGGCTCCAACGTCAGCTGTGTGTGCCATAATGCTCCATAACAACAAATCCGACTTAATAAACATGTCCGCCTATCAGAGGTTTCAACCCTCCAGTGCGCAATACAATTGTGCAGAATGTTCTCAACTGTCGTATCGCACGTGTTTGTCCCGTAACAGCAGCGTCCTTTGAATAACAACAATAACAATATCACGGTGACATAGGGATATTACAAGTCCTCTTCCCTTCTTGTACTGTGTCTTGCCTGATCCAGTTACCGCAGGTGAATCACTGAGACCATGATTCCTCAAAGTCCCTGGTGAGCTGGTCCATCCAGACCGAGTGGTTGATCTCCCAGCTGTCCGCCTCCAGACCTCGTCCGGACGAGTTCAGCGTGGTGGTGAGCGCCCATCCGATCGCGGCAAAGCCGATCGCCGCCAAAATGAGCAATGAGAAAAACAGGAACGGAGCAGCCGCTGCAAACAACGGCTCTTGTCAGCAACGAGAACAACAGCAACGGAGCAGCCGCTGCAAACAACGGGCTCTTGTCAACAATGAGAACGACGGGAACAGAGCACCCGCTGCAAACAACGGGATCTTGTCAGCAATTAGAACCCCCGTGCGGGTGTTATACGGCACTGCGGGCAATTCGTAATCGTTGCTCTCCCCCCCCCCCCCCCCCCCACGCCCCAACCCGTTGTAGCCGATGGGGCCGGAGCACAGCCGGTGATGTGGGGACCGGCCCTGCACCTCCAATGACGCAGTGGTACAATGGTGTGGTACAGAGTCCCCTAGCTCACAAAAGCTCACCGTGTGGAACAGATACCATGACACACATTCTTGGATCAGAAAGGTCACAGCTTGACACAACGTGTTGCACGTTAATTCTTGGCAAAGGAATCTGTTTGGTGTGCATCAGTTTTCAGTTATTCGTGTCGGGTGTCTGCCGTGGTGGGCGTGAACTACTATGTACTATGCTGCTACTATGTTCAGCTAATATGTTCACTGTTCAGACATCTGTAGCGGAGGCGTGGAGAGCCACAGAGTTCTTACCAAGGCTGCCAGCATCCGTTCTGTCGGAGATGGGCCGGAAGTATTTCTCGACCAGACTGAAACAAAGGCAGGGCTCGTCGTATATCTGCATATGATATATCGCATGTGGACTCACGCAGTGACGACAAATAATGCAATCTGTGAGCTGAGCGTCAGGTGCACAAACCACACCTAAGCAATGTCCGCCCCGTCGCCGTGCATATGACGAAGAGACACAGTTACGTCAGCATGTCTTCGCAACGATAAATGAGTTGGTTCCTTACAATTTTGGATATTAAATCAGCTTCTCAAAATCACCTCAATCAAGCACATCTAGGCACCTCACCGAACCTGTTTAAATCGCGCTATGAGAACTTATCAGCTGGTCGCTGGGCGCTCAGCTTCTCAGCTGCCACATTAGCCATGCACCAGCCTCTTCCACATGTGAATGGAATGGCCATTTTCCGCTAGCTAGTTTCTGCTGTAGTCAATTTCTGCTAGCGCATGTCAGCCGGCGGCGAAAGGTGCCGTCTGCATGGGATATCGACCTCAAGGCGGGGGTCTGCTTCAATGGAGGATTTCAACTACCGAAGCGGTTTCGGCATGCATCCATAAATATTGGCAGCATGGACGGCCGGACATGGGCAGAAAAACCGAACCTGCAGTCAGGATTGTGCTGTTATTCGCAGGTTCAAGTTCGCGTGTTCAAACCGATTGCGAAGTCACTCTACGGAGTTCCACCGGAGCAGATGTGAGCACTTCTTGGACGGTCGCAGTCACTGCTTCATTGCCCATTTGGGCTTCCTGATTGGGCCTCACTCTCCATGAGCTAGGACCGTTGTCGGCTGATTGTGGTGGAACAGAGATCTGTAAGCCAGCCGCAATGCATTCGTCCTTGGCTGAACACGGCCAGTGCTCATGCATGACACTCCTCAGTCTCACCCGCTGACGATGCTTCCGCCGGGCCTGGTCTGACTAGGGTAGCTAGGGCCGTTGCTCGGGTAGCTAGGGCCACTGCTCTGGTAGCTGGGTCCGCTACTGGAGTAGAAGCGGTCGTCTCTGTGCTGGTCGGCCGCCGACAGGACAGCCAGGGAGACGAGAAGAAGACAGGCCGCAGTTGCCATCTGAAAGCAACGGCATAACCCTGGCATCAGGTGTGCGCCTTTACAACAGGAGCAACCAGAGCTGCTCTTTTGTCGTACAGACAAGGGTCGGCATGGTATTGGTGCTTGGTAATTCGGACGAAGAAATTAAGGTGCAAACTGACAGTATACAGCATTTTGCAGCATGTTGAGGCATAATTTCAAATTCTTCAGTGAAAACCCCTTTTGGTAAGCAGGAGGCGTGTGGAATTTCTGGCATGGCGAATTACAGCATCATATTTCCAATATCCATTCGATTCTACATATCTACTTCGATGTTTTGACGCTTCGAGGGTGCTTGATGATGTTTTGATTTTTGACATTCACTCTCATAATATTGACACTTGTAAAACTTTGATGAGGACTGTTTCCGCTCCCCCCCCCCCCCCCCCTCCTCCCTCCCCCTGAATACACCGCTGCACGTTTATGCGAGCGCATGATTTGGCACCAAAAATACGGAAACAAAATATTGCAATGTCACAGATCAAATAGGCAACAGTATTGCAAAAGCCCGAGTCGTACTACACAGTGCTACGTGGAAAACCTATTCCAGAAACGAAGACCAAAGTCACGGTCTTTTTTGAAGCAAGTTCTTAAAAAATCCTTTTATTTTTCATGGTTGTCTTCCAAAAACTGCAGTCGTTGTGGTACTGAAAAGACATATTCCAAAAGAGAGAAACTCCATCTGAACGAGGAGAGCGCACAGGCGCATATGAGCGTGGCCTTGTTGGGCGAACTGGTCCCGGAACTGGCACCAGGAACGTAGACAAGAGTTGAGTGACGAAAGTGACCGGAGTTCTGCTTTCGATGCAGTGCCATGCTTTTCATTATCTTCTAGTTGAGTTGCTTTCATGAAACAAAGCATCAATGTTCCCATTAGCACCATTAGCTCAGAGCCCTGCCCTGCTTACACTGAGTGGCACACATACTTCGCCAGCGCAGGTCATACCTTTCAGCGAACAGGATTTTCGATTGTCCCCACAATACGCACTGTTTCCACAGGACTCTGAACGTCTAACGCAGATCTTGTGATGCTGTTGTCTTCCTGGCGTTCCGACGGTTTCTGCGGCAAAGAGTGTCGTCCTCAGCTTTTGTAGCACGCCTGAGACAAGGCACCTGGTTCTCTTCGCGCTTCGACATGGTCTTGGCCAACGTGGGAAGAGCGTTTTTTGCCGCATCCTCCATCATCCTCTCCGCTCCCATGTGTCGCCGGGCGCCCCGTGCCGGTTTCTATTTGCTTCCAATGTCGGTCGATCCTGTTCGACGCGACTCATTTGCGGCTCACCAAGCGACCCCGTCGCCTGTCCAGGTGTCACACTGACACTTTCCCCATAACAAGCCAGAAGCGACGATTGGACAGACACGTCAGGAGAGCACAGCGCAGCTGGGACCGCACGCGTTGTCGGCTGGGTGCCTTACGCACCCGAAGCACCGCCGAGAAGACGGCCCTCCTCCTCCTCACGCTCAGGAGGACCGAACCGCGCGAAAATACACCTCTGCACCAGGCTGACTTGGTTCTCAGCTTTTGGACGCTTCAGTTGCAGGAGCTGTAGTGGGTTGGGAGCATTTCAGAGACAGGCCATACGCTATAGGCCTATCGGTAAGTATTGAAGGGCAACCGACTGGCCTTTGTGGGTAAAGAATGTAATCGGGCGTGAAATGATGCCTTTTTGGTCATCCACGACGCCTTCAGCGGTCTACCTGGAGTTGAATTTATACGACTGGGCTGCAATCTAACTTTACATGTAGGAAACATGAAACAAAGCTAGGTGAGAAGCAATGCGTCAAGCAATTACAGCAATCGAAACTGAGTCTGTGCTTTCTTCGAAAGGTTCATCTGCACCGGAGTCACATTTGTTGGTCATGTCAAAAGTCCTGGCGGCTGAGACGTGGGTCTCAGCGCGCGAGTGGCTGGCGCATCGGGTTCCAGGCCACTGGGCACGTCGGTAGCGCTCAATCCAAAGATGTCCTGTTACGGAAAAAGGCGAGAAGAGCATTCTCGTGGGCGGCTGCGCCGCGGCACGACTGTAACTGACTCCTAGCAAACCCAATAGCTCATCTACTGGTCCAATAATAGGGTTATGAAAAGAGCTCTTGCTCGAGCTTTTACATCTATATTATTTCCTCCGGCTTGCTATCAGTTTGTATACCTTTCATGACGTGACGACATGCATGAGAACGCCATTTTGACACATTTTTCCATATGACGCCATTTTGTATTGTGTGAATTGCTGTGTTGTCTCATATTAAACCTTTGGTCAGTATGTAACAAATGCAGGGTATCAATTAGCTTAAAACACGTATCTTTCCTGCCTTTGCAACTGGTATGTGGAAAATATTTACTTTAAAATCTAGAAACACCGACCAGAAATTCAACAGGGCTTGTCTCTTCATGGCCTAGGGCTGCAAGGGCGGTCGGGGGTAAAGTCCGTGTAACTAGCCAGGCTTAGAAAAGTTGGTCGATTATTTTGCATCTCCGGCGTTGCGGCTGTTCCA